TAGTCCTTTTTTGTTTTTTTATTTTGAAATTTTTATCATTTAATATGTCACATATACAAAACTTAACGAATGGATTAAAAAATAACCAGATTTTAAACTTTATAAACCAAAAAATGATTTTTTAAAGTAAAAAAATAATAAAAAAATATTTTACCAAAATAAAGGGATCATTACACATGCAATGAGATATATTTTGGAGCAGGAAGCGACGACTAGTTCTTCTTCCACGAGATGTGATGGTCGTAAAAGTTCTCATTTTGTAGTTTAATAAATTTTTTATTTTATAATTTAGATTATAAAATAAAAATTATTAAATAAAAAATAATTTTAACACTAAGAATTTACTCTTATTAAATGGAGTATATTCTTAATATAAAAAATTTATTTTTTATTTAATGATTTAAATTATATAATTTATTACTATTTAAATTGCATAACATTTTTAATCTATATTATGTGGGGTCATACAACTCGAAATCCACTCTTTCGTGGTGTTTTCCGTGTGAAACGAAGAAAAACGAAGCTAGTAGATGACTTTTAGTTTTATTTATGATTAACATAAGTTTTGTAGAAATTTAATTTCCACACTGCAACGTACATAATGTCAAACACATGATATCAACCACAAGAGAGCTTTTTCAACCTGTGCCCCAGGTACAAGTTAAAAAGATTTTTTTTTCTATAAATATATATAAAAAAACAAATATTAATATTAAGTGAATGAATTTAATTAGATAATTAATAAATTAAATATTAATTTTTATTTTTTTAAAATAAATTTATAATAAAAAATATATTTAATACACTTTTAAACTATATATTTAAAATATAAATGAGACAAATTCAATGTAAAAATGCATTCCAATTTATGTCTCTCACTTAATTGGGAAGAGAACTATTAAATTACACACAAGTTTATGGAATCCGATTTAATTTTTGATAAAACAAAACAAAGTCACGCTTTTGTAGTTAATTAGTAACATAAAGTATTTTTTCAATCTGCGCAGCAAGAAGAAAAATATATAGTCCAAAGTATCCAAAGACAGAAGCACCATTTATAAATTTTCAGGCCTCCCTAAATTATTAAGAGTATTTTTGTCATTTCATACCCTAAATTTATGCTTTTCC